TCTGTCATGCACGGCCGTGTGCTCCTGCTATAACACTGTGGTAATCCTTGTTGTGTATGATGTGTCTACACAAACAAACAATGCCCTAATGTACTTTTAGAAAGTATTAGTTTGGTCAGGGTTCATACTTCTTCTCCAGGGGGACCAACACGAATGGCCAAATGCACATATATATACACATGCGCACACACCCCATGGGAGCCATTTCAATAAGTTCCAATCTCTGACATGAAATATTCATTACAAGCCTCTATGTCCGGTTGCGGCGCTACGCTCTCCGTGTGGCGGCTGGGTTTGGTGTCAGGACGCACACACACAATCTCACTCACACTTGGTGTTAAAGTATTCTTTCCCTGTTGTCGTACCACCTTTCTGCCCTTCTCAATTTCTCTTTTTTTCTCTCCGACACTCAGACATTCTTTCTCGCTCCTGTTTTCGTGCCCCGTCCTCCTCCGCCTCCTCCTTCTTCTGTGGCTCTTGCACCCAAAAAAAACTCAAAAAAAAAATATTTTCTGCAACCTTCTCTGTTGTTTCCTCTTAAAAAACAAACCTTGTGCTCGGAGTTATCCCATCGTTCTGTGGAAGACGGTGGTGTGTCTGCAAATATCGTTTTTAAAGAACAATCCAGGTGATAGTCAAAGGCAACTGGATTTCTTGGATATTTCCACCTCCTATATGCTGTAATTTTTTAAAACATTTGGAGCTTTCTTTTCAGTCAAATTTAGAATACAGTTGCTGTCCTTCACGGGATTTCAATGGATTTAAAGAATAGGCCAGTTTCTCAGTTAAAAAAAATCAAAACATCAATAGAGTATTTCCTGTGACTTTATCTGCGGTTGCCACGCTTGACTCTTTTATCATTTTAATGGAAACTGGCCTTCGCTGCAGTTTAAAATACAACAATAAGTGTCGGCTCATTGTTCAGAACTATTATTTCAAAATATCTCAAAAGTAAAAAAAACGTGTCAAAAAATCTTTTTCTATTCTTATTTGAGGGAACATTAGTCATAAACTCACTCAACTGACAGAAAATGAATCTCAACCTTAACCCTCTGAACCGCAAAACTCACCAATAGGTTTAAAACGTATGTTTTCTTTATTTCAAAATTACACCATTCATCAGAGCCAGAAACTGTAAAAACTGGGGGTAAAAACATCTATGCATTTCTTAACTTTCTCTTTACAAGTGGCATGCTGCTCCGTCGGACAACGTAATCAAATTGCGATATTTCAATAAAGTCACTTTGTTTCACGTCTTATTGACAAATGTGAAATTGTGTTGAGTTGTAAAATTTTACTTGTATGTTTTTTTTGTTTGTTTGTTTTTTTTTTTCATTTTCTTTGTTTTATTGTGTTTTGTTATTATAATCAAAGTGGTAATTGGGTAGGTTACTGAAAATCAACTGTATGTGATATCGGACCATCTTTTCTTTCTTTTTTGTTTTTTCATTTTATTTGTTTAAACAGGGGGCAGGCAAATACAAGATTTTTTTTCTCCTTGCTGCTCCTTTCCAATCATGGAGGTGTTGATTTGAAAATGTAGAGTGCATTTATGTACAAATTATGTTGTGTACCTTCATGAAAGGAACAGATAGATAAATAAATAAATAAATAAATAAATAAATAAATAAATAAACAAACAAACAAACAAATAAATAAATGTACCTGTAATAAAGTGTTACAAATAAAAATAAAAAATGCTGGCGTTTGAGTAGATATGAGATAAATTCAAAGTGTAAATATGTAAAGCCACCATTTTTCCCCAGTGTTGGTAACACCTGTGGGTTCTTGGGAAAATATTGCACACATTCATTCCCATTTTTTCAGTTTTTGTAGAATAAATAATCAAAGAAATCGATATGATTTATCTCTATATAACTGTGCAAAATACATTGTTGGGTTCTTTCAACTTCTAGCCATGGTGTTTCTACAGAAATTTAGTGAAAATGAGCCCACAGTGAGGAAATAAAACATCCAGAAACTGCTTTCAAGCTTTAATGATTTCTCAGTTTGTTTGTTTTTAGGCTCTTGAATAAATGTGTCTTTCCCATTTCTTCTTCTTCTTCTTCAAAGGACGTATATAACATTTTGTACTTCAAATGTTAATGTAGAACAAGATGAAGTATTTCCTCTGACAGGTTTTTTTGGCTGCATTTATGGCACAGAGGTGAACATTTCCCTCCAAGTGAGCACTCACATGCTCTCACACATGGAGGAGGAGGTCTTCCACGGTACAATAGTGGACCAGGGGGCTACATCCGTTACGTTTCAGTATGGCTGTATGAGCGCTCCTTTGTTACTTTGCACAATGGACACACTCTGAGGGAGGCGTGAGCAACTTTGTGGTGCGTCTCGGGATTCTGCAGATATTTTTTTTTTAATTCTTCTTAGTCCTGCGTGCAGCATTATAATTACATTCCACAGATTGCATACGTGCACGCCGGTGGGATTTTTCAGTTTGACTTATTGCATGAGAAACCTTTAGCCACCATCAGCGGCTCCCCATCGGCCCAGTAAAGGCCCTCCCTGCCTGGACGTTTGAAAAGAGACATTGGGGAAACGAGGAAATGACCCATGCTTAGCCACACAACATGCTAGCTGTGTTCAGACAATCAGCATGGCATTAGTAGGGCTGTTGAATAGAGCCGTCATGGCTGCCGAGCCCTGGGGAGCCAGTGATCTGCCTATAGGCTTTATGGAAAGTGGAGGTCCTGCAGAGCTGCCGAGGGCCAGAGTGGAGGCCACTGGAGGTTCTGTTAGACACTCCTCCAAACTGCTCAGGACCATATGTCTCCTCTCGCTTTTTTCATTCATTCTCACTCGCTTCTGCTCCTGGCTTTTTGTGTTGGGTCACTTTAGGTTTGGGATACACACACACACACACACACACACACACACACACACACACACAGTAAATGTAGTTGCATCCGTCACTGTGTATTTTTATATTCATTTTTTTAAAATAAAGTTTTTTATTACGCATCTTATGTAGCAGGGCAGCCACGTCTCCCCAAAATTACATTCCTATACAACTGAACTACATTCTCAATTACATCTAGAAATAAAGGGTTTTAATGTCAGATTGAGTTTGTAAAAGTACGTTTCAGATCAGCGTATCTTTACCAGTTATATTACTGCTTTACTGTTGCTGCTTCTCATCCAACAAACCACACAGTGCCTATAAAAAGTGTTCGCTCTCCTTGAAAGTGAATCATGATCAAGAAGACAGCAGTGAATACTTTATATGGGCACTTTCTATTATTCGAAACTTCCAGAATTGTGTATATGTAAAGAGACAGCGGTTTTTAAGTTCAGTGCTTATCTTTTTTTTTTTTTCTGGGGCAGACTTTAACCTCAGAAGAACTCTGACAGGTTCTCCAAGATGCTGCAACAACCCACCTGTAAATATCTGGTGCTTTTTACAAGGAGCGATCTCAGCAAATACTGATTTAATTTAGATGAATTTATGTTTACTGTGAAGTTTACACTTTGCACAGGACTTAGGAATATACATGCAACGTGAAATGGCGCTAAAGTTTACGGCTGACATCAAACTAAAAACTGTCAACTGCTGCGTCCAAAGTCATAAATTAAATGTTGGTTTAATTATATTACCACTGAAATAAGGAGAAGTTCCACAGAGTAACATAGATATGGCACCAGTGACATTTTTATTGGAGTTTTCAGCTGTGAGGCTGCTCACATACATGCAGCGCAGCACTGACTTCTCTGTAATAACCTTAAATTGGCCTGGTCGGGCTGCCGTGTTTCTAACCAGTCTCCCTCTCTTCCAGGTTTTTATTGATCTAAACCTTTTTGGCTGTATGGCTCATGTACCTTATTACCAGCCTGCAGATTGTACATATTTATAATAATTTATTTTTCACCCACTTCCTCCTGCTCTCCTGCACACTCGCTCTCTTTCCTCTCACAGGTGTTATCGGAGGTATTATTTCTCGAGGAGACCTGCCTCCATATACAGTTGAGAGAAGGCGAGGGAGACTGATAGACAAAGCTGGTGGGGGAGTCAGAGAGGGCTAAGTGGCCTTTCGTTGCCCCCAGGGTGTGCTCCGTTGGCGTCCGTGGGTGCTCTTTGTCCAGAGCTTTCACTGTGATTAGAGCGTTTGAGTTGACAATTCACTTAAGACCCTCTTTTCTTTCTCTCTCTCTCTCTCTCTCGCCCTCCTACTTTCTGTCTTTCACCGACCAGACCCCCTCGTTCCCCCACCGGCTAACCACACACACACACTCTCAGGGTATATTACCTGTTCATGTAATGCAGTTAAGCTCAGCTAGAAGCCTTTCCTCGTAATACCACTTAATTCCCCATGTGGCAGCCGAGGTAAATGCAGGAGAGAAAGAGGGGGAGAAGGAGCGGTGGCCGGCGACGGCGGAGGCAACGAACGAGGAGAGAGTGGGGAGATAAGAGAGGAGGAGTGGGAAAGGTACCATCTACGCCACCGCTGCTTGGTGGGGCCCTCGCCATCAACCCAGTGTGATAATAGCTCTGATTGCAGAAGGCCAGCGTGCCTCTGCCCGAGAGTCTCATGTAAAATATGGGACATTTCGTAAAGGCAATAAATATGTGCGGCTTGTGAGGCGGGAGGCGGAGGGCGATGGAGGCTCCGCTTGGATTAGTCATGGCATTCATGACAACTAAATTCTAAACGTCCAGCTTCCTACTGGGAAAATGCAATGGAACGCCACTTAGCGTCGGCGTTCCCAACCAGCAGATTCAGGTTAGTTTTAGAAACCCGCCTGACGGGGAGACGTGTGACACGATGTCAACCAGAAACACACACAGGAAGCTGTACAACGTGGCTCTGGAGCTGGATCCATCTAAATACAATCAAGTTTAATGCAAAATAGGCACGTGCAATAGCTGCATCTATTAATAGTTTGCGTCAATCTTTTTTTAATTTAAGACAACTTCTAATGAAAGTAAGTTCAGCAAACAAACTAGATTGAGTTTGAGGAATTAATTTTCTTTTACATTCAAAAATAGTGTTAATTACTTCATGAGTCGTAGCGTGAACACACGTTTTTAAGATAATTATTTAGAAAAGTGAAGTTGTTCCAGCTACTATTAGGATTTTTTAGGTGTTTTCTATTTAATTACCATAATTATGAACCTTTAAGAAGTTTGCAAATTAAAAACAATAAGTTGTTCCAATGTGCAGTAGGATAGAGAACTTGAACTCTTGACCTCAGGGTGCCAAAAACTGAGGGCAATTTTATTAAGTTACCCTTAACTTGAATTAGGATTTCAATCAACAAATGGAGACATTTGAGTTTAAATTACGCACAATTATAAGTTGATGCAATTGCCAACAAAATGATGTCAACACAACTCATCGTAAATAATTCTTGCAACTTAAAAAGTTTATCTTAACCAATAAATTAGATTTTTTTCTAAATCTTGCAAAAATGCATTTATGTAAGTGATTGAAATAGGTTTGCTGAGTTAGCTTTTGGAGTGTAGATGAATTAATTGGTTAATGGAGAAAAAAAATACAACTTAACTGTGAATATTTGATTAATTAATGATTAATCATTTTAAAGCAAAAATGCCAATGGGTGGCTGTTGTTGGAATAGTTTTTTAGTTTTCTGTGATATTGAATGTAAAAGTAATTGGTGGTGGTCATTGTTTATTATTTTATACAATAAATGAGGAATTGATTCATCTGCAGATTATTTGAGAATAAAAGTAAACCACTGACATCAATACCACTGACTTGTGTTCAAATTTTTATTTGATTTTTTAGCTGTTTAACAAACCACATAATATCAATGAAACATCAGAGGGCGGTGCAAACTTAACCCCTGAAAATACCTGAGAACTGCTTTTGCAAATGAAGAAGTCCCGTTACTGTTCCTCTCTCTTTCTCCCTCATCTAGCAGCCAACAGCCAGGCAGAGATAGAAAAGGATAGCAGAGCTGAGAGGACGAAATCAGAGAATAAGTCGCAGAAGTGAGGAGAAAATGACAGTGACAGAGAGAGAGAGAGAGAGAAAAAAAGAAAAACGAAGGAAGAAGAAGAGGATAGGGAGAAGAAGGAGGAGGAGGAGGGGTTGACATTGCTCCTGGGTTAGTGCTCCAAAACTGAGTGCTAAAATCATTTCAGCTCAGATAAAGCTCTGGCCACTGCCAGGCCGCCCCAGGATATCTGCCCTGCTCATCTGCCTCTCCAATGAAACGCCTGCACACAGGGAGCCTTCAGGCAGCCAAACACACACACACACACACACGTGGAAGCGTCCGCACACACAGATGCACGGACACTCGCTCGACTGGAAACACACACCGGCGCTGCTGTATCACATGCGCACACTCTCGCCGGCCTCTCACGGCGAGTTTGTTGCACTGCAGTTTATTTCAGCCGAGAGAGGGAGAGTGACAGAGAGCCCAGAGCGTCTCCTTCCTCCTCCGAGGCTCCCAAATTAACACCCTGCCACCACCACTCCCCCTCCCAATCACCGCCGCTCGCACCCGTTTGAATCATCTGTACCTTTAACCCACAAACTCCCTCATCCGCCGCGTTAGTCTTCTTCCTATCCTGCTCTCACCTTCCCGTAAACTGCTTTCACCCTGCACTCACCACCGGTCTTGGCTCCAAAGTTCAGGAGTGTGAAAGCATTTCAGTTTGCACACTTTGGAGTCGTGCACGTACACAGCTCGGCCTGTCATCCTCGCCAAATATTGCAATCCCTCTAATATTTCTTCAATGCCTGGGCTTAGAACAGATTCAGTAAAGGATCGAGGTAATGATTCAGTTAACCCTCTAAAGCACCCAAGCAGTTTCTAGGTGTTGTTTTTTTTTTGCTCCTGTCAGATTTTTTGCTCACTGTTGGCTCTTTTTTTTCCTTCTATGGAAACAGCAAATCCACGGCTAGAAGTAGAGGAAACAAAAACACAGTGTATCACAGTCATAGTGCCATAAATCACATAAACAAACATTGAATTTCTGTGATTATTTATTTTACAAAACTTGAAAAATCCTGGAATATCCTGGACATGTTTAAGGGCTTTTTAATTAGTGTTTCATACTTCACTCCTCTGTAGAAACACAGCCTGCAGTTCAGCTGACAAGTCAATGAAGTTCCATTATGTGGTAGTACGTCGCTGCAGAGTCTCTAATCGCTTCTCAGTTGCACCAAGGAGGGCAGAGTTTTGAGATGTAGAATAAACCGATCTTGGTAAAATATCATAATTTTTGTTTGTCACCGATACAAAGAACCGCTGCAAAGTGGAAAATCTCTGACAAATGGTGTAATTTGGTGATTTTTTAAAATAGATAACATGCCTCTCATATTCGTTGGTGAGTTTTGGGGTTCACACAGTTAAAGTCAGACCAAAGGCAGCGTGAGCGATGATGATTATATACCGAGGTTCAGCTGGACAACAGCCAGTTGATAAATTAATGGGAAATTTTCTGTCATCACCAAATTGAAATGCATTTTAAAAAATCTGCACAATAAAGTCTTGATGATGTGATCCAACAAGCTATCAGTTGTTTTAGTGCTTTTGTTAAACCTGAATTTACTTCCCTTATTCCAGTCACAGTAAAAGTCATACATAGAACTGCTTGTGGGTCTTCCACCAAATACAGCATCACTGTTGTAATAAATCAGCACAAAGTCCAAACTATAACCAGAATAAATGACAGTATTTTATTATTAAAAAAATAAAAAACACCCAAGCTAAAATGCAGCATGCTATTAAATTGTACATATTCAGTCATTTTAGTGT